CCTCTTTAAACACTAAATCCCTAAACTCACGCACCCGAGCTCTGCTTCCCTTTCCCTCTCCCGTTCGCGTGTATGACCCTTTCCCTTTCTCGGTCTCGAGCCGACCGAGCGCCTCCTCCCCCACGCGAGAGAAAGTTGACCTCGTTCGTCCTTGCCTGACATTCTTCTGCTCGCAGCCTTCCTTCCCGAAGCCGTGCCAGTCTCCCTAGGCTGTGTTATTTTTCCTTTTCCTGGTAGTTTGACTCTGGGAAGCTTGTTCCCTGGTACACTTGAGCGACAATATCTTCTCTTCTTCCAGATGCTTCCCTCGCTGCCACTAGTCTCGCCGCTAGGTCCAAGAGACTTTGGTGGCTTCGCCTTCTGTGAGCAGGGAGTGTGTCCTTTTCTTCTTTGGCCCGATTCGAGTGCCGTGGACCGTTGGGGTTGATCTTCTTTCTCTTCTCCTCTGTTCTCTGCCTATAAACACAGTTCCTTTTAAAATTTTTGGGGTTGTTGAGAAAAGTTTTTTTTTTTAGAGTGGAAATTTTGGCTGTGAGAGAATTGACAAGGGAGTTTCTGGGAGAGCATTTCTTTGAGGTGGTTTCTTGTGTTGCTGTGCTTTACGTTTGCATTAAGGAGGTACCTCTTCTTCCCTTTCTTTCCTATGCCCTGGTTTCCTGAGGATTTCTCCCTGTCGAGCCTCCTCTTGTTCGGTTAAATGGAGGATACAACATGCTAGTTTATTTTACTTTCATATATTTTTTAGATATTCGCATGTGAAGGATGAAAATGTGGGCATGTCATAGGAGCTAAATTTGGTTACTTGCTTAAATTAGGGAGGCTATGACATTTTTATGATTATTGTGGCATGTTTATGTTAAAAATATTTAAGGAGCTAAGACATGACTTTGGGGTTTTCTTTTTGCTTCTCTTTCATGTTTTTTTTTGAGATATTCACTTCAAGTGCATTTGGAAATGAAAATATGAGCATGTGTTAAAATTAGACTTGGTTATTCGCTTAAACCAGGGAGGCTATGGCATATACATGGTTCTTGTGGCATGTTTACGTTGGAAACATTTAGGGGGGTAAGGCATGCCTTTGAAATGATTTTTGCTCCTCTTGCAAGCATGTTGGGATGAGTATTATGAAGCTTTTCACTTATTTTCGTTTGGTATGAAATATTGGAGAGGTTATTTGGCCTTTCATGCATGGTAGGGAGTGCATTTTACTATTTTATGCATGTTTGGGGGCTCGGTTTTGGCTTCCTGTGGCGGTCCCTGGCTTGAAATATATGTTATAAGAAAACTTATTTAATTTGGAAAGCCTTGTATCTTGTTTTGAGAGTTTGGCTTAACTCTTCATGAGGCATCTCCCCTGTTCATATATTTGTTGGAATAATTTCATGCTTAGAATGTTTAGACGTGCAGGTTGTTCCTTAGGCTTAAAATGGCTAGATCTTTAATGTTGTATGGCTCGATTTTAGCCCATGCTGGGCTCGGTTTTATCTTTTGGCTTGATTGGAGTCACGGCTTTGGGTTTGAAATGGTTGAATCTTTAATGCTTTATGGGAGTCTAGATTTTAATTTTGTTGGACTCAGTTTTGGGCTTTGAATGACTCGGTTTTGGGCTTTTGTTGGCGCTCGTTTTTTTTTTATTTCAGGAGTATGGAATGTCGACTTTTGTGGAGACTTGAATTTTGACTTTTATTGAGATGTTAAAGCTCTTTTCCTAGCTTTGAGAGCTCTCGTGTTTGGCCTCTACTAGACTCGGTTTGGCTTGAAAGTGGGGACTGTGTTTGATTGTTTTAGCCTTGCTGGACTCGGTTTGGCCCTAGTTGAGGGCTGTGTTTGCTTTGTTTGGCCTCTGCTGGGCTCGGTTTGGCTTTGGTTGGGGCTGTATTTGCTTTGTTTGGCCTCTGCTGGGCTCGGTTTTGGCATCCCACTGGTGTCTTAGCTCAAATATACGTGTGGTGGATGAATTTATGTTGATTCGGAGGAACTCTGTAGTTGTTCTTGTGCATGGCATGCGTTGGTTCTATATTTTTGATGTCTCAGGGGTATGAAAATGTTTTCTACTATTTTGTTATAGCCCGAACTCAAG